GAATCGCTCTCCGTTTAGTATTTCATCCCACCTCATTCCTAAACTTAGCTGTGCAAGTACGTACTATATCTAAATCAGGTCTTGTTCGCCGCGTGAAGAATGAATTATGTATGTGAAGGGGGTAACGGTCCTCGATTCTAAAGGGAGACCACCGCGTAAGGAAACATGTATATTGTACCAACACACGAATACGTACACAGATAGCCATTGATGGAACGCAGAACAAAACCTAGGTGCTGTATATTTGTGAAGATCGATGTGTAGTATGTACTAGCCAAGACAGATTTTGCTTGGGCCCAACAAATGAACATTGCCCCTCCTCTCACTTCCCCACCATCTTCGAAATTCCATCTAATCATCGATCTAAATCCATTAAACTTCCCCTTCACGTACAGCACTGAAGACAAATATGTAGACCACGCGATTTGCGAGTCGCGTAAAGTGGAAAGAGCGGAATTCTTGGACTCTTGTCAGGGGGGGGGAGTTAAATTTCTTCGATGATGGTGACCTGCACCTAAGTTCAAAATCTAGAAGCATTCAATCGTTGGCGAGCAAGATACGAGAAAGGTTTTGATCATCAGCAATATGTGTTAGCAAACTATTCCCATATTGCTAATTCCCCCTTCCTTGTTACGTGTTTCTCCACAAACTTTGACGGTAGGGTTCTATCATCTATGGAAGCACCGCCCAACGGCTAAGCACGAAAGAAAAGAACCTAGAAGCAACTGCTACGGTGGGTTGTGGGAACGGAATTTAGTACATCGAAGTCCAAAATTCAATAATCATACCCTAAACCAGGATCGACTGCGATGGCTATAATAATTTAGTTAATTTTATCCATTCCATTCTCTGCCGGAAATTGTTGGAATGGAATGGTGGATGAACCAACGGCTTAAAATTTTGAAAGCTGCATTTCCCCTTGAAAAAAGGAGTGTTTCGAACAAAGATCGTCAGTTCAACTAATAAAAACACTGCAAGCGACTTATTTACTTTTTACTTTCTAGGGTGTGTATATAAAATAATGATTTTTTTACATGGCTTGTATAGTAAGCAATATATATGATTGAGCGTCCGCATATCGTATACACCAGTCAATGCCCAGCTGACGAGCCGGATGATATGGATCCAATCATTGGTGTGGGATCGAGTGATTAGATTGGTGAACGGGGGCGGCGCCCATCGGACTTGGGAAGAATCTGAGAAGTTCAGCCACAAAAAGTGTAAGTCTCTCTCTCCCAGAATCACCGGTCAATTTTGGGAAAATGTGCCGATGGATGATCATGGAAAAGTCTCATCTTCATTCACACAGCCTGACTGATACAACACAGAAGAAGTCAGGCCATAGGTGGCCCCCCTGTAGGAGGGTACTTGCGGATCATGTTTGATATATTTGACTCAGTGACTGGTAGGAACTTTGCTTATGCTACTGCCTCAGCAGGGCCTGCCTTGCTTACGTAGAGGGAAGGAAAGCTTTCTCGACATCATTTTGGGGCAGGCAGGCGAGCGAAGGAAAAATGTGATTGTGCAAAAGAAGAAAAGAGAGATCCTAAAATTTGACACCAATCATGTGTGTGAGAAGCGGTGGAACGTCAATATCTGCAGCCTGGAAGACGGAAACGAATCCCCTCACCCCTCATCGATGATATCGCATCGATTCGATTATTCAGGATCCCGAGCGTCGTTGTCAATTGCATACGAAGTAAGTAGATAGACGGTCTGCATTATTGCCTAGGAGGGGGCTTTGAAATTTGTATGGAGAAACGAACGAAGCGCTTTTTCTCACTTGGCCACTGGAGAGGAAAGCTTCGTAGCTTGAAAGTAATCCTATCCTATCTTGATCATCCTAGAAACACTTCATCTCCTTGGTCCATTCTTGCCGTGTTGTGCTTTCGTACCGATGCTATGGAAATCGAAAATGGTAGGTTTGATTAGACCTCATAGTCAGATGGAACATAAAGCGTAACGCTAGGTGTCAACGAATGATTGTCAATAGTGGCACACTGCTGATACATCGACATATTTCCCAAACAATTACCAATCGAATTCCACCCAAATCCTCACTTCCACTAATGTTTTGATCAATTATGATCACTTCTTTCATCCTTACACTCCACCCCTTCTTTTACTCCGTGTGCTAACAAATTTAGACGACCTAGCACCATGTCTATCTTCATAACATTCCCTTACATTTTTATTACTGCACAAGCACAAGTCTCATCTCAACGACCAATCACTGTGGAGTGTTTGCAGCACACGAATGGTAGTCAATGCTTCTGCATTACGGAGTACTCTTACGCCGGGCTTCTAGCACTGCAACTGGCAAGGCTTTGATCATTCACACATCCGTATTGGCCATGGTACCGTCATATCACAAGAAGGGAAGACAGAGAGACTGGCGCGTACGCATTGATAATCCTAGTCTGTCTCTCTGTTTTGGCCTTTACCTTGCAAGACTGAATAGGCAAGACTCTGCTCTCTATGTACGTGCCAGCAACATTCAATTTCTGCTGCACCGCTTTCCACTGTTCCACGCGCTACGCTCCACCACAAAAGAAAAGCATCACAGTGAAAGCACTGCAAACATCCCCGGTCCCTATCGTGTTGCCCAGGTGCCCTCGTCAGATTGGTAGCCCATGGATTATGTTTGCAGCACTCCTTGTAGGTAATTCGATATAAATCCAATTTCATATAGCATCTTGACTCTACCAACGAGGCATGTGCATGTATTAGTGAGTGAATGCTTCGGATCATTCGGTACTGTCATCATTTACCTTCGTGAGGAAGAATGGGTTCAAATGAAATACGAAGCCCGAAGGAGTAATAATATATCGAGCTAAAATCAGCCCCAATCTGTCTGTGGGAATTCTAGTCAATTTTATATAGATCAACTTATCGATTTTGCCAAATCGAAAGGGAAAAGGCCAGTTTGATAAAATGTCAATCCATTTCAATCCATTTCAATCCCAAAGGCCAAGAGCTGCATATCTCCCCAGACACGAACAGAACACCAGGTCTGGACCCGACCACTTCTTTAGATATAATCCATTCAATATATGTTGCCACTTTAAAGCTAGGAAACCAGCTTGCTTGTAGCCAATCAAACAGGCCACCTCAGGTGGAAAAGAAGACCAAACGTATGCGAGGCAATCAAAAGGCAATGATGCGGAGCAAAGAAGGAAGAGTAAAGAAGGCGTAACCGATACATTCATTATTCATCTGTGAGGGCGGTTCAAAGACCGCCAGAACTAGCCTCAATGAAAAGATTTAGATGCATTTTTTATATTCAGACCCTCCTCCCTTCCCCCTCCCCTCTTCCACCCATACAAAATTCATTATTCATTCCATCGACCAAAAGCAGGATTAGCTTGCTTTCTTGGATATATCATACCTACATACCTCCATACCTCCATACCTCCATACCTACATACCCATACCGGTACACAACTAACTGACTGGCCTTCGTTTCGCTTCGCCTTCCATTTTGAAAAGCTTGGAAAGTTGTTTTCTCACACAAACGCCTTCTCATCCTAACCCCATCCATCGAATTCATACCATATACACTTTTGATAGGTGGTCCTTTGTATCCCTGCACACAATCCCCGAAATCCTCATTATCACCATCATTCTTATATAATCCTGGCCGATTGATAGCTTTTTTACACTTTTTTTCTACATTGCACTAGCTGGGAGGCTAGCAGCCCTAGTACCAAGCCCTTTCTTTCCTAATGTGCATAGGTCCTAGCTTGGTATTATTATTGTGTCTAGCAGACAGACTAATTTGGAATCTCTCGTAGGAAAAGGATCCTTCCTTTCTTCCTTTCTTTCGTTGCATCTTGTTTCTTCTTGCAGGCAGGCAGGCAGGCAGGTGTAATGGCCGTGGAAAGGGAAAAAAATAAAAGTCCTTCTAAAACAAATAAATTGATTTTATTTTATCCATTATCCTAGTCATACATCGACCTAGGTTTGAAGTGGTGTGTTTTCTCAAACTATCTTATCCACATTCACTCAACTACTCCTCTCTCACCCTCTCTCCCTCTCTCCTTGTACCTGGCTCTTTGCCTGTGACATCAATGAATGCTTCAATCAGCCTCCACTTTCTTCTAGCACCATACTCTCAATTCCATATTTCCATTTTCATAACCCTTTGTCTTTCGTACCATACCAGACAAGATCAATCTCCATACCAATGATACTATAATCATTGCGTATCCGTATCTAATACAGATTCAACCCTAGTTGATTCTTTTACATATCGGTCGGTATTGTACCTAGGTATCATTCCGATATTTCACATTATTCGTTCCTTCTTTCATAGTCTCTTCTCTCTTGATCCAACGTCTCCAATTTTATATCCATACATTATTTGCTATAATTGTTTCCCATTACTTCATTCACATTATCAGGAAGCTCAAATTCCTAATATCTCTCTCATACACCTCCCAGCTCCTAAGACACCTTTTCTCTATCTCTCTTACTTTCCCTGGCTTGAGATATATTCATCAAGCCAAAGTTCAATATTGTGTTCCTTGTCTTTTGCTACTCTCAAAGTTTCGACCCGTTTAGGAAAGTTTCCTCAATATCAACCGACTCCTTCCTCATTAAAGAAAGATCAATTCACTTCATACACTACTCTACTCAGGATTCCTCTACACTCGACAGATCGGCAGCGGCCTACTAACTATCTTCTCGGCTTCGTTCATTTCAAAATATCTAATAGTCCGCTCAATCTCTGTACGACAGGAATAGACGAACCTTCCATGGCTTCGCGGATAGCCCAATCTTAGCTTTGATAGTTCGTCTTCACCTTCGACTAGCACTGGTAGAAATTCACAGGAACTACATAACGTGTGTCGAAAATTACTTGGGATAGTGGCCATCTAATCTGAATATTCGAATCCTATACATACCACCTTATTTCGAATCTTCTCCGAGCAGCAACCCTTATTCCTTCAAGAAAAAGCAATCCCCCTTCGAAATTCAACATACACGTTCATTCCCAAATGCATCAGACTTCAGTTAGACCGGCTCCGTTCAGTTTTCTTTTACCTCCTACACCACAGACTCCCTTTGGAATCGATCGTCGGAAGGACATTGGTTTTCCTCTAACACTCCCGCAAATAAACCAGTCAAGATATATAGAAGCTCCGGTCAGAGTTGGGCTTCGAACACCACCCGAAGACGATATGCACGCAACATATCCAACTTCTCAATATCAAAACTACAAAAGTCGGCAGAATGAAGATTACCCAGCGTCAGTCAATGTTGGCAGAATGAACGATTACGATGGACCAGCTTGTCATTCGCGAAAGCCTTCGTCAATCCCCCAACCGCCGGGAGCTCACATTAACAGTGCGATGAAAGATTCGGATACCTTGCAGCCTGAGTCGGCTTATAACTGGCCTCCAGTGAAAGAAAGCCATCATTCTCAAACTACTGCCCTGTCTACTCTGGAGTCTGAATCTACTCGAAAGCCGCAAGCAAAAAAGCCATCAACTACAGATTCTATTCACCCCAGTCTGCAAATCCCAAAATCTATAAATGACAGTGGTGGAAGTTTAGCCGAATTTGCAGCTCAGGTAATTAATTCATAACTCTTAATAATTCTACTCCGATCATATTCAAGATCTGACTTTCCTAGATTACCTGTTTGTTCTGGTTTGAGTCTACCGATACTTTGAAGAGAGCGGAAAATTCGTGGGCGGGATCAACGACAACAGAAAAGCTCCGTCCAGAAGCTTTCCCATCCGTTGGGTTCACAAAATGGGTTGTTACGATTCTCATGACTACGCAGGTGTCACAAAATGTCATTTTGCTGGCACTACTTTTCATTTACCGTCTGAAATCCATCAACCCAGCAGTCAAGGGACGAAGTGGAAGCGAATACAGACTCTTAACAGTGGCATTAATGTTGGGCAACAAATGTGAGTGAACAAGATTTTTTATAAAGTGTGAGAATTCTTGCTTACCAAAAAATAGTCCTCGACGACAATACATATACCAACAAGACATGGGCTGAAGTTTCGGGAATTTCCGTCACTGAAATCCATATCATGGAAGTCGAATTTTTGAGCAACATGCGCTACAGTTTACTCGCAACCGAAGAGGAGTGGAAGGAATGGCAGCAGAAGCTTGGAAAATTCTGGAGTTTTTGTGATAGGGCAACAAAACTGTCACCTCCACCCATGTACCAACCTACCCTCCCTTCACCTCCTGCATCGATGCAAGCTTCGCCTCCCACACGAACAAGTCAATACACATCCTCAGTCGGATCAAATGGTCTCACTCCACAGTGGCCTGCTAGCAATAATGTCGCTCAGCTGGTATCGCCTTTAACGACTATTTCGACCCCTTCCGATCAAGATTTCCGCCTGCATTCAAGGAAGAGAAGTTTCCCGGATGATGTTGAAGAACCGGTGGCAAAGCGTATATCCAGGACAACCACCTCAACGCCCAGTGACCTTGGCAATTTTAACATGGCTCCTAGACCTCGTTTACCGCCAGTACCTAACTTAACAATCTCGACAAGTCAGGCAATGAATGGGTACAACGGTCTCCCTAGCTTTTCTCAGAACGCACCACTTTTACCTCCTTTGCATGGCAGTCGAGCCATGTCCACAGTCTACCCAACCACTCCCACTTATCCACCACCTATTTTGAATCACACCTCTACTGGAACTCAACCTAGTGGACCACAAATCACTCCTTACCAACACGGTAATCAAAGTTTTGGAACACCATCTCGCCAACGTAGTCCTCATTCAGCCGTTCAGGAACTACTTGCAACAGTGCCTTCTCCGCTCAATGCGTCCTTTCCCGGAAACTCTGGTCACATCTCACCGTCTGTTTTCTATCAACAGCGGAACTCACCTTACAAGCCTATTCGTCACGTGAACACTCTCCTCTATCCACCACCCAGTGCTTCCATGCACGATTATAATGTAAACACAAATCACATACATTATCAGCCATTGGGCAAGAGACATGATTACCGATCTGGTGTGGTGCCTGGATACGGTCATCAATCTACCAACCAATGGCCTGTACTACCTCAACCCAATTTTCACGGAGTATAAACTCCAATTTCGTCAACTGATACTAGCTGTGTCGAATTATTTTCAATGTTTCTAAAAACTAAAAAGAGTCGAAATCGCCCTTGGAAGAAAGGGAATTCGCATGATATGAGCATTTTAGCCAGGGCGTTTGTTTATCGGTTTTTTTTTTCTCTTTCCTAGGGGTCAGCGAGGCTTCATTGCGTATTTATTAGCAAGCAGCTGTTATACCATTATTTGCATGCATTAAGACGGGTGTTTTGGGAGTCCCTTAAATAGGGGGACATTGTATTTTTTAGTCGGAATTTTTGACGTTTTCTTCTCATGAAGAACGAGTTCGTGATTGGCAAGATGATATTCTGATCTATGGGATTATGCTAGACCGGTGGAGGGTTATGATTAGTACAAGAAGGAATCAATGGTATTGAAGGGGAAGGGTAGAATGTATTGGGAACGTCCTCTCATGGAACAGAAGGCTTGTTTGAAGAGATGGATTGGGGATGGAAATCTAGAGCATTGTAGCTCGATTGATACATTGGCCTGGAATATCCTTACCGTACAGTTCACTTAATGGATGGGTTTGGTCAGATATACGACATATAACTTGTGCGTTGCTTTACTGGTTTATTCTAGTGTGTTGTGATGCACAACTTCGCTTGCTGGATATTGTGCATCCTAGCAACGGGGGGAACATCAAGAGAAGAGAGAAACATAATTGAAATGAATATTGATACCCCCAAAATTCGTTGCATATTCTGTTTTGCTTTGCCTGTGTTGTGTTTGATGACTGATATCGACTATTTTTGATACATGTGTGGATTTAACAAAGTACCATATGCTGTGTGCACCTTGGGAATGTGTATTGTTTATTATCCGAGAAAGCTTTAGGGAGTACGGGTATGGGTATAGGTATGGATTTGGATTTGGGTATGTGTTGCCGTTCTTACTTTTGCTATTACATCTCGGGTGGGTGAATGTTGGAAAACATGAGATGGATACTTGATATACCTGTTTTGTCATGCTACTGTTACGGATGACTTAAGGGGAAGGTGGCAGCTCGTGATTCCCGGGGCAAACCATTATTTATGCCTTGTGGGTTAATTTTTATGTCACATAAGAGGGAGAGAGAGAGAGATAGATGAGGAGAGAGAGGGAGAGAGAGAGATTCGCATCCCAGATCGGTATATATAGTGAGGAAGAAAGAATTGGGATGTATTGTATTATTGATAAGTAGCTCGCTGTGTTGGGTAGCGCGGGTTAGGATGAGATGGGATGTGGATTTGGATATGGATATGGATATTTGTATGTGTGTGTGAGTGTGTTGTTAATATCGGATTGTGCTATGTTTGGTTGAGAGAAATGCTTGGGGTGTTTGTATGGGATGGCGAGTAGCGAGTGGCGGATGGGGGATGGTGCATGGGGGATGGCGCATGAAATAGAAGGAAAGGAAGAAAAAGAAATGAAGGGGAGAGAATAGGAGAGAAGAGAAGTTTTGAGGATTCCTGATGATTGAAAGAGGTATCGATGCGAGGAAGAGAAGCTCTCGCTCTCTTTCCCACGCGAAGATGGCGAAGATGGTGAAGCTAGAATGAGTGTTGGTATTAGCATCAGGGGTCAGGTTAAGCTTAGTCCTGCTGATGTTTATCGTGGGAGAGCGGAAGATCTTGACATGTTTGCTGGGTGGTGGGCGCAGTCGTCTTTCTTCACATCTGGTTCCTGCGCGCGTGAGCTGGAGAGTTGGGTCTCGAGATGTTCTAGAGGGTGCGTGTGCAGATGTGTGTGTTGGGGTGAGGAATGGGAAATTGAAAATCAGAGCGTCTGCGGAAGTATGTGCGATTTGCAACGGGCTGTTCCGTGAAGCTGTCTGAATGCGATCTTTCCTCTGTCATGTGTAGGGTGGACGCGTGGTTTTCATTCAAGCGCGGTGCTCGGTGCTGCAAGGGATGTTTGAGGGATCTGCGGTGGCATCTTTGCTGAGATGATGGATTGGCTTGTTGGTTTGAGCCGTGTTGTGTTGTTTAAGGATGGTGTGAAGATCGTGCTGGGAATTGTACTTGTACTTCCTTGTACTCTTCGCTGACTTTGTGCGCTGGCGTGGAAGATCACATCACATCACATCAAATCACATCACATCATATCATATAGTATCACATCCCTCTCGCGCGATGCACCCTTTTAATACCTCAAGGCTCGTGATATCAGACGAAGAGAGGAAATCTGGTCAGGATTCAGAGTTCTTTCCTAGAACTAGCGATTTGGTCACAAGCATCTAATTGATAGACGCCTGCGAAGAATGCGTAAATAGGAGTTTAGAAGACTAGGATCTGTGTGTTGAAGATGGGTGTTGTTGACTCTGGCCTTGGGAGTAGCGAGTGGGATTGAAAATTTGGGGATTTGGTATTGGATGGTTTCGACATGTTTTACTTTGTCACTGTGGTCTTCTTGTTGGTGTGACTTATAGCGCTCGAATTGTAAGATATAGGTAGAAGTAATTCTGAAGTGAAAGAGTGCGCAGTAGGGTATGCTTGGTGATGAATGGTGTGAAGTGAAGGATATATACAAGTTATTTGTTACTCTCAATATTGACTACATTGCCTTCTTACGTGTTGATTCGATACGCGAAAATATACATGCATACATGCCATAACGGATTCACGTCACAGTTTTGGCAAGAAGAGTAAATGTGTAATTGTAGCTTGATATACAAATATTTTCACACACATTCCCCGACAAGCTACTGCCTACTCGATCTCTTTCCCCTCAGTCATTTGATGTAATACTACCTGATGGGAGAATCTCATTACAATGCTGTTATGATGCTCCATAATTTGGCATGGAAATTTATATTTTGTCGTAAATGTATATGTAGATAGATATATACTCCAGACTTACCCTTGATTTAGTACAGGGTGCATGTACAGGTTTCTCTTGTTCCTCCTGCTAACAAGTGATAGTACTGTAAATTAAAACAAGAAAGTATATGTATGCTACATACTTGGAATGGGATGAGCCAGGAACTGTACCTAATTCGGCCTGCGTGTGCTGAAAAGTTACACTCGACTTCATAGCCTTAATAATGATTGTCGGTAGCGACTTCATGAAATGTGTGGCATCAAATGAACGTGATCCATTGACGAGAAAAATTTCGAATATGGCATACTAGAGCTTCTCACCGTGTGGACTTTCATGAGATATAAATCATCATTGCTGTAGATAGATACACTTAAGCTTGATCTAATGCTATTCAAGGAAAGTATTGGTGGAACGTTGCCATTTTCCACCATTCTTACTATTTTCTCCCAGTCATGGTGAAAGCGTGAAGTCTTACTTAAGATCTAAACGCCATGAACTTGCATGAATAAGATAGGACAGGTATCCTCGCCATTGATAGTCTGCGTGTGGAGGAAATGGGGAGAATGAGAATACAGTGAAAGCATGGATCGCTTGATACATGACAGCTGAAATCGAAGGATAAGAAGCGGGAACCCGAGTCAGGCTGCAGTGAGAGTAAGAAAGCTGATGAGCCTCCTTTGCCTTAAATGGAAAAATACAGCTTTGATATTGTTCTACTGGCTTACATGACTCTTACAGCAAAACCAGCGAACGCTACCAATCAATACACCAACATCTAGAAGCGTATCTTCATCCCAAAAACAGATTATTTTTCGTGATACGATCCGTCCATTGCCAAGTAAGATGGTGTGTAGTACTAAAGGCTGAAAATAGATTATCGGGATCAAATGGATATTCTCCGAGCCCCAGAAATCGGTGGTGTGGCTCGAGGAGATGTCCTTGATTGTAGTTTCAGATGTGATGTTTGAGGTTAGTGGGTCTGTCAACTTGTTCGTGGTGGATCGACGATATCTCTGTATAGACCGGTATCATATTGAGAGGTTGTTGTGCGAGTGAAATTCATCGGGTGTAAAGCCGGGTCGGCGAGGAAACAAATGGGACGGGGTGGTAAGCACGCGGTATGGAGATAGAGAGGATGGTGAGGTTTAGAATGCGGAGATGAAGATGTAAGGCAGCGATTGGAGAGATGTTGTTTTGTTGAGATGGCGAGACGCAAAGCATACTCACGTATATTGAATGAGGGGACATAGATGCGAACGCATAGAAAGGTAGCTCAAGTAAGTAATATATACGAAGAAGGTCGGTGCATGATCTTCTGTGTATCCAAAAACACTTTGGTGTTATGTGGACATTGACGAAGATTGGATGGAATGGATGGAATGGATGGAATGTCTGTGTTTGCATATCCGAAGTTTTATCCCATAACTCACCCGCAACTCATCCGTCTTTTCACAGACTCCCGAGACTGTCAGACCCCTCGAGTCTTGGAAATTTAAGCTTTGGATTAAGTTTGTTTCAGGATGGTGTGTTCAGATTATACATTCCAAGTTGAGTAGAAAGATATATTACGATGTGCGATTCTGGGAGATATGATGAAGTCATCAAGGTGATCAACGTTTTCCATCTCCGCGTTGAGTGCGATTGGCCTCTTACCCCTGGATCACCCCTTGTGAGAGACTCGGAAACAAGTCGAAAGCATGTCGGTATATCAACGGCACAATACCACCTTTGATATCGAGGGAGGGATAAAGGACAGTGATGGTTACTTGGCTCGGGGCTTGATGGGCGTGAATGTGAATGCGCGTGCTTACTTACACATTGAACAAGAACACATATATTAATATAACGTATACGTTTCAAGTATCTTGCCTTCCTGACTGACGGGATCGATCCTCCGAATGGTTACGCGGCTTTCAAAGTTTGTGCGTAACGGTATGTTGGTTCTGCATGTCGACGTAAGTATTCAAGACGAAACTTCTCGTGAGTGGGGGGAACATATACTTTGATAGGAAGGCGAGGAGAGTTCGAGTGAAGGAGCCGAGGAAACGTGGTTTGGATATTGGATGGAGACGCCGCGTTTCTCTGGTGGAGATGGATGGGTGTCGATGATAGATTAAGCACATGTAAAGTATACCTGCCCAGGTAGTAAGATCTGCCCGTGATAGTGTCAT